CTGCCCCCTACCTGTCTGGGCGGGGGAGGCGAGGCACCCAGCCCCCCAGCCCGCCCCCGCACCTGTCTGTGGGGGGAGGAGGGGAGGCGAGACACCCAGCCCCTCAGGCTGCCTGCCTGCCCCCCCCCGGTCTGTGCGAGGGCGGGGGAGGCGAGACATCCCGGCCTCTCGGGGCAGCTCCTTCTCTCCCGCGGCTGGCACCGGCCCCACACGGCGGGGCGGGGGCAGCCCCCGGCAGGGCCCCTCTGTGCCCAGCGCTACCAGCCCCCGCGCGGAGACTTACCCGGCTGCCGGTCGCCTCCCCGGGCCGGGCGGGGGGCGAAGCCAGACGGCTCCCCGGGGAGGGGGCAGGGCGGGAGTGTGTGGGGGGGCGGCGCAGGCGCAGAGCTCAGGTGCGGCTGCAGCGACAGCAGTTCCGTTACCATGGCAACAAGGTCACCGCTTTAATCAGCCCCTGCTGCCGCTTCATCTCCGCCCGCTGTCCCGGAGGGGCCGGGCGGGCCTCCGAGTGCGTGCGCGTGTCCGAGGGCTGGGCGTCCTCCTGAGCGTGTGACCCTCCCCCTCGCAAGTGTGCATACACCTGAGTGGGTGTGTATGCACCTGCAAGTGCGCGGGAGAGCGGGGCACGCACCTGAGTGTGCACACGTACATACACACAACAGTGTGTGAGTCTGAGGAGTGTGCTTGTGTGTGCCAGGGTAACCAGATGTCCTGATTTTATAGGGACAGTCCTGGTATTAGGGGCTTCATCTTATCTAGGCACCTATTAACCCCCAACCCCTAGCCTGATTTTTCACACTTCCTATCTAGTCACCCTAGTGTGCATAGGAGCTTGGCAAGTATGTGCAGAACTGTGCCTGAGAGCTGGAGTTAGATGTGCTATATCTGAGAGTGTGTAAGCTGTGACTGCATCTAGGGGTGCTATGTATGTACGTGTGTGACGATGTATTCAACTGTGTATGGACCTGTGCATACATACATGCATGAATATAAGTGTGAGCACAGCTTACTCCTGGGGGGCTATTCTGCACCACTGCACACGGGCAGAATTTATGTCGCCCACAGATTTCTTTGCTTCCCCGCAGAAACTAACTTTCTGATGGGGAAGCAAAGGGAAGCCACAAGAGTGGTCATGCGACTCTCCCCAGCAGTATGTTTTGGGTGGCCAGGGCAGCCGGCAGAGAGATAAATCACTGCGGGGCAGGGGGCGGGACTGGAGAAGACCCAGCTGGTGGCTCCTACCCTGCGCCAGGCAGAGCTGCTAGTCCCGGCTGGGCTGGGCTCGGGAGGACAGGACTTCCTCTTCCCCTGCATGGCTTCTGGGGCCAGGTCAGACCCACTCCCAGATTTCTCCCCGAGCTGCAGGAAGCTCTGCAAACTCCCCCCTCCTGCACCCATCGCTCCTCAGCTGCAGGGGGAGGGATCTCTGTACAGGGAGCTGCTCCCCCATCTGCCCAACCCCCATGCATCCAGACCCCCTCATACCTAGACCCTCCCACCGAGGCTCACGCCCCTGCACTCAGAGCCCCCCCGATGAGCTCCACTCCCCTTGCATCTGGACCACTCTGACGATAACGATGCACAAAAGACAGCAGTGTTCAATAAATATTTCTGTTCTGTATTTGGAAAGAAGCAGACGATGTACTCTTATATGAGGATGATGAAGTGCTTTCCAATCCATTAGTAACTGAGGAGGATATTAGACAACATTTACTAGGGATGAACATTTTAAAATCAGCGGGCCTAGAGAAGTTGCATCCAAGAGTCCTAAAAGAATTGGCTGAGGAGGTCTCTGGTCAGCGAGTGTTAATTTTTAATACATCTTGGAATACCAGGGAAATTCTATAAAACTGAAGGAGCACTAATATTGTGCCAATATTCAAAAAGGACTGAGCAGAGAATGATACTAGAAAGACAGAAAGAACATTTTGTGACTCTTCTCAATCACGAGTTGAGCACAAATGATCAAACAGTAGACTCAACTGAGCAAGACCAGTTTGATTTGAACTCTAAGATCCACCAACTTTGGAGGAGACTAATAATACACTTATGAAAATGGTAAAGGGAAAGGCAGCTGGAGCTGATGAAATCCCAGCTGAAGTGCTGAAACATGGTGGTCCTATACTTCACAAAGCTTTTCTACACCTATTTAGTTTCTGCTGGGAAAATGAGGTTTTACCCCATGATTTCAAAGATGCCAAATAGTAACAATCTATACACGTAAAGGGGACAGACATGATTGCGGCAATTATTGTAGCATTTCGCTCCTCTCCATCGCTAGTAATATCCTTGGTAAGATGTTGCTGAAAAGGCTTCAGGTTATTGCAGACGATGTACTCCCTGCATCCCAGTGTGATTTTTATTCATCACGCAGCACTGCCAATAGGATATTTACCCTACGCTAGTTACAGGCGGAAGCTGCTGAAGAACTGCCCCTGTACATTGCCTTTGTCGACCTCAGTAAGGCGTCTGACTCCGTCGGATGCTCTGCAGTTTGGTGCCTTCTTGCAAAGTTTAGCTGCCCAGGCAAACTAATATTCCTTATACACTGCTTCCCTGACAATGTGCAGGCCCTTGTATCAGTGGGTGCCGACTCATCTGATCCCTTTTCTGTAGCCCCTGGAGTTAAAAAGGTCTGTGTGCTTATTTACTTTGTTCCTGGCTGGAGTGCTAGAAGTCACCGCATATACTACCACTACAGGTGTCACTTTAACACCACGATTTGATGGCAGACTTCTAAACTTCCATAGATTCAAGGCTAAAAGCAAATCCCAGGAAAGTGAAATAAAGGATCTCCTGGATGCTGATGACTTAGTGTTTGTCACCCTTTCCAAGAACAACCTGCAACATTTGCTGAATTCCTTTGTCCATGCTGTATCCCTTTTGGGCCTTTGTATTAATGTAAAGAAAACAGAAGTCCTGTATCTACCATCTGCTGGCAGAAACCCATAGGTTCCATCACCACCAGAATTAAAATTGAACAGCTACCAATTAAACAATGTCAAGTCCTTCTGCTACCTAGGTAGCACAGTTACCGGCGCCACCAGC